AAATCTACAATTAAGAACGACGCTACCCATGGATGAACAAGTGAGACTCGTGGAACTATGCATGGAAACCTACTTCCAATTCAGCGGGAAGGTTTACTAGCAGATACGAGGAATTCCTATAGGTTCGCCACTCTCAGGCCTGCTCGTATATGCGGTCATGAAGTACGTCGAAGCCAAAGCTTTTGAATTCTACAACCTCGTTTGTGGATATGGTATGTGAACGACGCATTCGTCATACTCAGGGATTCCACGATAGATCAGTTCCACGAAATGATCAACGAACAGCTACCTGATATCGAATTCACACCTGCGTAAGAGAAAGATGGACAAATCTTCCTCTTGAGGCAGCCCGATGGAAGAATAGAGACCACAGTCTGACGCAAACCGGCCAAGACGAATAGCATCCTGAATTACAACAGAAACCATCCCTTGTGCCACCAGAAAATTTACTCCGCCGAGCGAACACACTGCAGTACACCGGAGTTGAGGGTAAGAGAACAAAGTTGACACTTTCAAATGTTTTTATCTAACGACTGAGGTGAGTAGACGAAACGTCAATATCTCGCAAACTGCATCTTCCCGTATTGATCAGATGGATAGAAGGTGCCGAACTGCTTTAACATTCCAATGTCATGTGGCGTGCAACCACGTGCTGCTTCATTTTCATTACCACCTCATCAGGGATTTAGGAACAAATGGACAAAGAACTCGATGGGGAAAGTTACTAACAAATGAATATTTCAGACTAAAAACCGATGATTTTCTGGTACTTCTAGTTGTAATAGCAGTTTGAATAAGTATGAACGCATTTTCTTTGAAAAAACAGTTCAANGTTCAATAGATTCATAATAGAAATTAGCTTCGTTTCTCTAAGTGGCAGTGAGTGATACCGTCAAGGTACCAAGTTGATCAATCCGTGTGGTTCTCGAGAACTTGTGGAAAACAAGTGCGAGGAGTGTGAGTAGAATCAATAGTACAATGAAGCAAATGACCATGCAGACACCGTGAAAGACAAAGTGTTTGATTTTCCCCTAAATACCAGAGGTTGCACGGATTTCAACAACTATTCATTTTCGGTCCCAAATTACACAGTCCTCAGACATGCATCAAACGAGTTTAGTGAGAATCGAGATTCCTCNATTCCTCATTCCTGTTGGCAAAATCAGTTCACCAACCGCTATTCCATAGTGACAAATTCGTTCAGCCTGAACGTTTGCGTTCGATTCCAACATGTGAATGTGTGCGAATAAATCACGACTGCCCAACGAGTCGGGGATTGTGCACCGCCTGTCTATCGTTGAAGGCCCCATTCTCCGACCTACACCAGAGGAATCAAATCAAGATGCATAGTCAGATAATCGATTGAACCTTCTATGTCGAATGTTCTGACCGTGCATGAGTTCTAGTTGTCATGATCGTAAGGCGTTACAGCCACGACTGCACATGTCAGCTGATTCGCGTTCACACCACTTGATGAGCACCGAAAACCAGGTGGGTTGAAGCCACATTCCCGTAATTATAACCAGAGTAAGTAGTCTATTATTGTGGTATAATCTTCAAATTATGCGCAAGATGGCAAATACTGTTGTACACACGCAGTCAAAGATAACATAAGTTAAATCGTATCATGTACCATCCAGCGTCAGTTGCATTGATTACGCCGGTACGTCACAAAAGAATATAATCAGAATTCGCAGCAAACTGGCGGATTTTCTTCCGGTTGCGACTGATGATGCACTTTAACGATCCGAAAAGTTTCGTCAAAAATCGATTCGCAATAGAACTCCATGGGCAAACAAAACTAATCCTGTGTTTGATGGGAAACTTGGTCTATTTTCGTACCAGTTCTCGTACTCAATTACACGAACCAACACAAGGAGTTGGAAACTCGTATGATTTCTATACCACTGAGATTTAAGGGTCTGGATCGATCGGACAGCCTGGATAACACCTCGTTTCTATCACGCATCTACGGATGTGCACATTTTTGGAGTTCTTGATTAACCGTATCGATTCATACGGACAAATCATTGGAAACAGCACGGAAAAGGAGCAAACAATCAGCCTTGAACGCGACTACTCCGCAACTGGAAGAAAAACTGACAAGCAAGTTAGATTAGTGCTTTGGTAACTATGAGTCAATCTGTCTGAGCTCGCCTTTCAGCAACATCGATGGAGCTGAGCAATCAACAGTGCTGCTGTCATTCCAATTACTAAATGACAGTCTGATCATGGCCATGTAGGCTGTAGCGAGATTTCACATTCCGTCTCACGGGAACGATCCAACTGCACCAAACCGGTTGAAAATTGGTCCATAATGAAAACCCTAGCCAATATGAACGAAGATCAATTCCAAACCAAATGTCTTAAAAGCCTTCGTCAGTTATTGCTATCCGTCCTTTCCGTGTGCGAATACGTACGACTATGAATCCCTACAGGTGTAATATTGGGTACTTGGTGACCATGGGAGATAAGCGAAAAGGGTTGCATATAGAACCTTATGTGCCGCGAGTCATTCGAGCGCGATGCCAAGGGAGAAACGGATTTCGTCATGCACACGACAGAGCAGGTCTGGGGAGGGTTGAAGGCACTAGTGAGAGGGTCCCTTATCTCCGTTGGGCATCAGTATCAGTGTCCATCCATCGACGGTACGGAGGACTTTCCTTGGAGGGCCCCACAAATGGAGCCCAACCGCACTCACCATGG